CAAAGTTTCCGTTTATTACTGTAGATGACCCGTTTTATGATTTCATAGAGACTCTCGACCGATACAGAAAAACAAAACAGTTGTTTTTCCCCGTACAGCAGCGAAATCTTTCTCAAAAAAATAAATAAATAAGTAAATAAATAAATAAATAAAATAAAAAGATTAGAGGAGCCCATAAAATTGTATTCATATGAATGAAGGTGCATCGTCACCAAGATTTACTGTGAAGCATCAATTCCTTGGTAAAAATTGGCGATTGGAGCTGCGTTTCAAAATACCATGGGAGTTCTTATAACCGACTGAAGAGGGAGATAGAAAATCATATAGCTGGCTGTAAAAAGTGGAAAAAAATCATACGGCCGGGCTACACGAAGTGATAAAAAAGTATACAGCCGGGCTATAATTCCTATCGCCGGGCCTTACACTTTATCGCCTGGCTGTTGCTTTTTCGCCATCGGCTATAAAAGGCTATAAGAAATTGTGTAGAAATTCTTGTGCTTTGTAAATCCTTAAGTTTGTACGGAATCACCTTAATATTTACAAAACGCACATTATATTTTCCTTCACTACATTTTTTTTTTTCATCAATTAAAATGATAATAATCCATACAGAGTGTGCAAACATTTCAAAGTCATGAGTTGAAAAACGCTGACTCCGCGAGATTAAATATTAGAGCCTAACACAAAGCGGAGCGGCGGCGCTCTGGCGCCTACAAACCTAACAGGGATACTTCACGCATTGCGCAACGCGTGAAGTATCCCTGTTAGGTTTTTAGGCGCCAAGCGCGTTCAGCGCTAGCTGCCCGCCCGACGCGCCGCGCCGCGCTGCAGCGTACCGTGGCGCTTGAAGCAATTATTCCACACCAGAGGTATAGCACAGTATCATAAATCAGTATCATATTGAAGGCGCTCCAACATATTAGGAATGGCAGGCATCCTTCAAAAGCACGGAGCTTTCCTCGGAAATTCAATCAAGATACTGCGGCCCAAAAAGAGAGCGGTAGTCCAAAAACTCACTAAGTCCTAGCATCCGTAATTAGTAATTTTTAGCATACACTTTATCGCCGGGCTGTTGCTTAGTCGCCATCGGCTATAAAAGGCTATAAGAAATTGTGTTGCCGGCTATAGAAGCTATTGGAAATCTTACAGCCGGCTGTAGGTCTACGGTATTTTGGAACACGGATTCTACTGCCAATTTTTACCAGGGTTACAAAAATACAAACCACCGGAGTCAATTTGTTTTTCGTCCTTTGAGATGCTAAAAGTGATTTATTTCTTCACAAACCTATATAATTTACTTTTAAATTTTGATCTAACTAACTTTGATTATTTTATCAATGTCATTAACTTTATAACTCTAGGTACCTTAAATGACGAAAAAAAAACACTCAAGTTTACCAAAAATAAAAATCAGCCAAAAGTGAAAACGTCATCCTCTTTTGATTCAATACATAACTAATAATAATATTTTCCGTTATTTTTAATAAAATAAAAAAAAATTCAACCTGAATGTGTTACCAGATAAAAATACGCAGTTTTCAACTTTACCTAGCTATCGAAACAAGAACTGTGACGCCAAGTCTCATCATTCCATTCGATGAAAGTTGGTTTGAGCAAGAGCAGTTGTTATCGTTTGATATTTTTTTAGCACTGATTGTGAGTCTCGTTTATGAGATCACACAAAAAGTGTGGCTATCAGGAGAAAGAAATGGATGCGACTTCGAGAAACTGGATTTAATCGGAATCTGTTGTCAAAGGTGCTGCAAAACTTCCCGGAGATAAGCCTGAAATTATTCAAATATGAATTTGTACACATGTTCGGAGTGATTATTGGGTAATTGTGGCCTTGCTCTTTCAACTTATCCGTCAGTCTCATCTGGTGCCTCCTATAGTATCAACTGGGAATTTAAGCGTAACTTATTTCGGAGAAAATCCTTATCAGAGAGAAAAAGAAACAAAATACTAACTGACAAGCTCTCGGAATTGACAGATAAAAAAATTTGAAGCTTTAAGTTTAAATTCATAAATCTGCACGTGTAACTATGACACTCCAAAAACAACATTTCAATGAACTCATTGCAAACAACCTGTGTATCTTGACTCTTACAGAGAAAAATAAATCATCATTCACACTCATGGGCGGAACTAGGGATTTCTCGAGGGAGGCCCGGAAGGGTACCTCGTGAGAGGGGTCCGGGGGCATCAAAAGACACTCATTTAGATCTACCTACATCTGCGAGACTCTCTTAGCTCCAACTGAGAGTTCGGGAAATTCCCCTATTTGTAAAGGGGGGATACCCGGGAAATTCCAATTTTTTGGTTGATCATGATTCCCCAGGCTCATGCGCGGGGATTTTTGTCCTTTTTTGGGCCCAAAAGTCAAAGTCTGAGGACATTTTTTGCTTAATCGATGCGAATTATCGCACGCTAGTTCGATCATACAATAATCCGGGACGAATCCAGGGCCGGATCTACCTATACTTGCCGCCCATGGGCCACCTGTATTTTTCCGCCCCTTCTCATTTGTTTTGAAACATCGATAGATCGTATTCGACAGTGGTTCGATGTATCGTTTACAAAAATTTTAGGATTTAATTTGGAAAAGCTGAAAATGAGAAAATTCCTAACAATTTCACTTTTCATTGCCTTTTGGTACTCGAGAGAATTTCAGATTTCAGATTCAGATTTCATTTATTAATACAGAAAATACATAATACAGTAATTAAGTTAAAGCCACTACAAATAAACTTGCCAAGAGGTCTAGCCTCGTGCGGCAAAAGTAGTAAAACATAAACTATTTTTAACAGAAACAAAAGAGATCATATCAGACGATTGGCACCACCGCCTACTTAGCTCAGTCTTATATGTAATTAGTTTAACTTGGTGACAATTTAAGTACGTTAAAAACAAAAGAGAAGAAGAAGAGGAAAAATAAAAAAATACTAAAATTTAAGACCCTAATTACTGCTAATTCAGAAATGAAGGCATAGAGAGACATGAAAACTTGTAGGTATGTCGGTATATGTAGATCGGTAGATCGGTAGAATAAAAATTTGATCACATAAGACCCGTTACCTCAGATTTCTAAATTGACTTTTGATGCTGTGGTTACATATTAAACCAATCGATATCAATATAATCTCACCTGTGTGATCTGTCGAATACGATCTATAAAAACCATCAAGTGAACGTGCCGTTGTGGGAGGGGTGTATGAGACACGTTTACTCGTGTTGGGCACATTTTTTGTGAAAGCCCAGTCAACACTATAACTAAAGTTCAGTTCCGTAAACCCATCCCTGTTTGGACGAGGCCCTCTATTTATAAAAAACGAACGAAAAAATTATGAAAGAACAAACATAAGTGTGGTTGAAAATGTTAACTTCCACCGCCGCGCCGACCGCAATGTGTGAAGTATTCATGCAGTCTTCTAGGCGCTACGCGTTTCACGCCGACCGCTGCCAACCACACTGATTGGCGCAATGCGTGAAGTATTCATACAGTCTTGTAGGCGCTATGCGTTTCAAGCCGACTGCTGCTGACTGCAGTGTGTTTGACGCAATGCGTGAAGCATTCATGCATTCTTGTATAGACGCTATGCTTTTCATGCCGACCGCCGCGCCGCTCCGTTCCAGGGCAAATTGCGTTTTTGGTTTCTCTCTCAACTTGACTAATTAAAGGTGCTATCTCTTGTATCATCGATAGACGACAAAATTAGAAATTACTATACTCTCACTCACAGGAGATGAGAGATTTTGTCGCATTTTCTCGTTTGTAATTTATTTTCTGAATCCGATTTTTTTCTCTCTTCTTTTGATGCCTACATTCAAAAATATTGCAAAATTTGCCGCCCCCTACATTTTGCCGCCACGGGCCGCGGCCCATGTGGCCACCCCCTCAATCTGGCCCTGGACGAATCACCTTGACACAATCAATGACACGGGATTTGGTCACGAGTTTATGTTTTAATGTTTTGATTTGAATCATCGCAAATCAAGTATGTCGAATAAAGCAAGTTTATAGCAAATAGATTCGTCGAATATCGCAATTGAATCAATGAGAGCGAAAACACAGCAACTCAATTACTCTAAATGCTCAATTCTCAGTAAAGACGATTAATTTTCATTAAGTTCATGGAAGTTAGCGCATCTGTTCCAACCTTTAAAGTGTCCTGAAGTACTTGTCTTTCGGCACCAAAAATCTTTTTCTTAAACTAACTTCTTCACCTACTGTGCAGTTTTGTGTGTGTCTTGATTATTTTCATTTTTGCGAGTTGGTATGTTTTCGTTCTCACTGATTCAATTATGACGTAGTCACTACATGAGTCTATTTCTCAGCTCCCTCCCACTCCTATGAATTAAAAAAGGCCATAGACATGACACCCCCCCCCCCCCGAGAGTTAGATAATTGGACTGTATGTTGCAATTAGGAACTACAATTGGATTACATTTTGCAATAAGGGACCACTATCTCTGACTCTTCCATAAAAGCACGTGCCTGCAGGGGAGATCAATGGTATATATGTTGTTTCTATAATAAGCCGGAAATAGTGGCTCCTTATTGCAAAATGTAATCCAATTTTTGGCTTAGTGCAGGAACAACGTATATACCATTAGTTTTCCTATGCACAGGAGTGTTTTTGAGCCAGAGCCAGAGATAGTTATTCCCAATTGCAAAATTTGGTCCAATTCGTCGCCCCTCTGACGCAAAGGCGAATCTTGATGTCCACGTGAGCCCTGTTTTACATATAAAGCCATGCTTTCTGGGGCCCATACGGAAGTCAAGATACGCCCTTACGGCAGAAGAACCACGAATTCAGGGATGACCCCGTGGTGGAGCCCCTATGATTTTCCCTCGGGAGCCCGAGTTTCCATGCGGCGCGGGGCCTCGGGGGAATCTGGGCGACGCGATTAGATCTTGGCCTTTGCCGCTCCACGTCAGGTCGGCGCGGTGCCGGAGCTGAGCGTTTGCGCGGCATCTGTGACACTGATTTAACTGACCCATGATCGTCATGCACAAGGTTAAAATATTTAGAATTCGCTTATCGCCTCCCTGGCTGCGGCCGTTGTGAGTTGCGCTTGTCTAGAACGATCACCATCGTCATCGGCATCGAGCTATTCCGTCTTATTCCGATCTGCACTGGCTGTAACCGTAACTTACTCGGCACTTCCTTCGGTCCCAGGTCGCCGCCGCCGTCGCCCAGTGCGCTTAATGACTTAATACTACTTACCGCGCCCGTTGTTTTGGTGCTTCCTCAGCGTCGCCGTTCTTCTTGCTGTCGGTGCTCCGGGGTCCACAGGCTTCCGCTCATTCCAGGTAACCCGATTCTTTCGTTTCGCCCGAGTTTACAACCCGAAGGCGGCTCCACACTTTCTGGGAATTCGTCGTTGTGAGCTCCCTAAAGTCATACTTTCGGGGGAGCTTTACCGCACAAGAAAATGACTTAAAAGGTTAAAAGTTAAATTGTTTACTCACTTGCACGTTTTTTTAATTATTTTTCCGCAGACGCGTTCCGGTCAGTACGGGCGAAAATCAGTCGCGATCGAGCATCGGAAATGGTCCGTACTGACCGAAACGCGTCTGCGGAAAAATAATTAAAAAAACGTGCAAGTCAGTAAACAATTTAACTTTTAACCTTTTAAGTCCCTAAAGTCAAGTCTTCAGTCGCACCTCCTTCGAGATCGCGCAGTAGTGATTTCTCACTGAATATTTGTGGTCCGCCTTGAGGGAAGGAACACGGAAACAAAGTGTTAGAGGTATACCCCTAATGTTTTGGCATAATCCTATTTTGTGGGATGATTTAGGCATTTCTAATGAATTGTGGTTGTGCCGCAACTCAACTTTAAGGTAGTACCGCGACAGTGGGGTCAATAATTTAATTTATTGGGGCACTACCACAATGTTAAGCTCCCAAGTCAAATTGGGTCTTAGCCGCTGCCTCTGTTTTCCTTGTACCTTGGTGCACGAAGGAAAAATTTTTTTTTTCGAGTAATTTTTTGTCAAGTCGGATTCTACGGTAAACTATCTCTCTTAAAATTTTAAATAGTTTTTTCTCGAGACTACGTTTTTGGCACAACAGACTTCAAACCGTGCTGCTTTCAATTTGGTTTGATATTTGTGAGCGTATATGATTTTCTTTACCCCTCATCTGCCAAGAACACATCTTTAAGCTCTAACACAATACCTGTACATTTCGATCCCCATTTTCCCCAGACAGAAGCAAGGACGGTCACATTTACCTTCAAGAACCAGAATTGACGCGGAGGGGATAGGTACAGAGATTGCGCATAGCACCTAAAATTTCACCTTTGACTTTTGAGATAGACCATGTAACATCCTCCGTGCAGCAATATTTGTCTGTTCGAGGATTTATATCTTCCGATGACAATGAATCTTCTCTTCACAGTAAATTTGACCGCATTATGCAATTCGGAACTCCAATTTTTTGCCTATCTGTAAAAACACTTATGTTGTAAGGGAAACTCATTATATTTACGTCGTTTCTAAACTGAGCCGGATATTGTACCTACTTCCAAATTGCAAAATGCAGTCCAATTGTGTTAGATTCTAACGATTTCAATCATAGCGCTATTTTTGTGTTGAACCCTTCATGGCTCCTGGTAAATATTGACGCATGGAATTAAAATAATATTCTACTCCCAAATGTTTCGTGGATAACAGAAACCGCAAAAAACACCTCTGTGACTGTGCACCGCCACACAATGGATCGAGTCAATTAGGGAGGTCGGACATAAAATTTGTTACTAGAACCGCACATTTTGATGTTCACTTGATCACATTTTAAATTTCAAGGGGTTCTTTCACCGGGAAATTTCATGAGGAAACCAATGGAACCACTTTTAGAACCTCAAAGTTTTGTGTAAAAGGAGTTTAAGCGTCTTAAATTTCCAAATTTTGTCCGATCTATCCTATTGAATCGATCCATTGTGCGGAGTGCTAAGTCTTCGTGGGCCTATCCCTTTCCAGGATACGTTTTTTCAATGACGTTTTTTCTCTTTTTAGGTTGTCCAGCAAAACCGGTCTTTTTTCATTAATCTTTCTCCTGCAGAAATTTCTTTTCACACCAATAGTAACGATCTTACCGCATTGCTGTGTCTCAGTCGAAAATCACTTGACTTGGTTCAATTGCTTCTCTACTGATTTTCTTGAGTTCGTGAACTGGCAACGATTACAGGCTTCGTTTAAAAAAAAAAAAGTAAAAGGAGGAAACAAAAGCTAATAATCAAATTGTTTGAACTTGATAGTCTGGACAAGGAATAAGTTACCTCAGTGCCGAGGTATTAAACATTTAGTTTATGGTTTAATTTGGAGGGAAAATGTTTTCAGTGCTCTCGTTCTTATCACAATACCTATAAAAATGAGAACGAGACTGTTGGTTTTTTCAAAAAATTGCGATATGATTAATTCTGCTCTCTACACGATAGTCATTAATGTGTTGAATACTTGATAAAACCATTCATTTTAGGATATTCTAAGAATGATGATTGAGTTATCATCCACGTGATAAGAAAAGTACAACGTAACAGCCTAATCAAATTGTAAAAAACAAGAGAATTATTCTAAAAAATTGGGGTTAACAAGGCTTAAGTTAGAGAAGAAACACATCCAAAACATTTCGAGCCTATAAACCATGTGCTCATTCTCATTTGGGACAAAAAATATATATTAGAAAATGAAAACGCGAAAGTAAGTATGACGCTGACCAAGGTTGGGATCAGCGCAAACTGAGAAACAAAGCGCCAATGAACAGATTCTCATCGGTGCCCTAATTTTTAGTTGGCGCTAATTGTTCTTATCTTGGCTATATGTATGCTTCTTCTAGTAAATATTTTCTCTTTTTTTATAGCTTTTTCCACTTAAATTTGCGCTTGCACTCGGCCCAAAACGTCGTGGTTGTGTTTTTTTTTTCTAATTGTATCCTTACTAAACTAATTTTTTAATGGATTTTTCTTTCATGTCATCATTTAAGTTAAAGCGGGCTGAACGATCAATATTGAATGAGCATTTAAAAGGCCAAAAGTGAAGGACGTTCTATACGCATGGCAGGCTCTCAAGCTTCCATTCGCTTTGTTAGATGCCAGCAGAATATTACAATGAATTTAAGCGTTAACTTGTTTTTACGATGAAATTACAAATCAGTGCTCGGAAAATCATTTTCTGCGTCGAGTCACACTAGTTGACTTTACAGATTTTTGCTGCAGGGCACTGGCAGTATGCCGAGACTGTTGAGAAAGAAGTAATAGTTTAAATGCAATTCAACGTGTAGAGCTTACTGAAATAATGTAAATGTAGTTTTCTTTAAAAAAGGTATCGAGGCACTACTAAAATAATATTCATTAAAGATCGATCTAGATCATGGTTTCTAAAATGAGCTTGTAATAGTAATGCCTTAGGCAAAATATGATCTTAATATTCCGCTAGTCTTTTGGCGGAAACTTTTACTTCTGAGGCTTCATTAGTTAACTCTTTTTTCTTACCTCATGACAAATGCTGATAAACTTACAAAGCAAAGAAATCCTGATGACCAACGAGGAGGCTATTTCAAAGATTGAATGAAGAAGCTTTGACAGTACAAAGATTTCGCCTGCCACCAAGTAGCCATTGGAGGGTGTTTATTTGTCTCCAATGCGGTTGAAGAGGAAAGACAAGCAATCTTATGTACTTAACTTATTTTCGGACTGCCTTGTGGAGTGTTGTTTTTCCGTTTTTGTAGCCGCGGCGGTGTCGAGTCGGGTCCGAACCCACCCACCCACAGAGGCTATTGCGAGATCTAATCGTTTTCTGCCAAAAGTGGCACCGGTGCACTGCAGACCAACAATTTGACCATAAAAGAAGCAGCAAAGGGAGATGCGCAGTTTAATCTGCGAGCTTTAGCTCCTTTGTGCAGCGCTGCATTTGACCAGTAATTCCAACACAGTTTCTACATCAGGCGATTAAATTACATTTATTTTTGGAAGAAAAAAATATAGCAACGACCCAATCCTCAATTACGTGATGCTGAAATTAAGATTTAATGACACCGTTACGAGCCACTTCATTTTCTTAAAGAATTACGTGACACTGGTCTAGATAAAACCCTGAAAATTCAATAATGTAAAAAAACACGTTGAAGTGCGGGTCGGGAAGTCAGGTAAAACAAAGTTAGTAAATGTCCATTTGAAATGAAATGAGATAAAAGGTATTTTCTTTTAAAAAAATCGCATAAATTCTCAAGGAATTCGATTATTTATCGTCCTCCGTCATTGCATCATGTTGAATGTATACAATCTCTCTTTCCGGGTTTTTACCAACATTGCATGAAGTTGCAGGTATACAACTGACCCCTTTAGAACCCATTTTGGGGTAATAGAGCCCCCTATCCCTCCAACCCCCCCCCCACCAGATGTTTCAGGGAAAATTAAACGTCTCAAACTTCGTATTCCACAATCAATTCATGCATGCAACAGAGGGATACGGTAGTCCAAGTTCAGGCGCCCTTCATTCCTCCGTAACTTCATGAGAGACCCTGGATGCGTTTCCATGAAAATGTACTCTTATTGCTCTTCTTTTCTATTGCTCCTGTCGCCACTGCCACTTCAGCTCTGAAATATGTCCTCATTTACCCTTCATTCGGCCTCCTTTTCATTTATTACGAATCACGCACTTAGACCCTTTGAAATTTTGAAAAATCGAAATATGTCACTAATTTCCTACACAGGCTAAAATTTCTAAAGCAGCAGCCCGTGACTATGGTGACATCAAAACATAGGAGAAAAAACTGGAAATAAGGCTATAAAATACACTTAATTCCCTACATGATCCCGATTTATGATCGAAATTTGGCAACATGTTATGGGTATATATCATAATAAATTGGAGAATTTTCAAATTTTTTATTTCGACGACGTTGCGATAAATTGCCGTTGATCTATGTCAGCGGTTGGTCAGTGTTCCATTAAAACCAATGGCCGAATCAGAACCCCCGGCTCGATTTCTTCTCGCTAAAATGCATTTTCGGGCCTGATTTGCCTTCGGCGACAATCAGGATCAGGCGCACTCTGACGGCACCGCAAGTAAAGCTGTCGCGCTTGACGCATTGACTGACGCGGCGCGGCGGCTGCGACAGCTTTGAGCTTTGAGCTTTGATTGCCGGTCGCGACGCCGCGCCACCTCTGCCGCCCGGGCCTGGGCTTTAACTTAATATAAGTGGGTCATTCGCGGATAAATAGAGTTGAAGGTCCTCACTCAAGCCGTTTACACTTCACATCATGCACCCGGTGCACTCTATCCGGCCCTTTGACGGCTACTTGCTCCCA